CATTTAATTTTTTTCATGGCCATGCATGTTAGATATATACTTTTGCTGTCACTACATGCATTTTTCTATAAAAAAATGCATTTATATTATTACAGGACAATGTTTGTTTAAAAACTAAAAGGAAATAATTTCAATGTTAACAAATAATAAATGGCGTCTGGAGATGTAAAGTTCGCATCCCTTAATATTAAATTTAATTTTTTGACAAGACAACTGCCAGTTAGTCAGCCCTTCAAATTTCTCTTTCGTCTAAAGGACTGTCCTGGCCTTTCATCAAAATTTGACGGCATGCACAATCCCTATATATGTAAACAACTAAACAAATATTCTTTTGTTAAAAATAAAATTCACTTACTCGTTTCCATGCAAACGGGAGACCATGCGGCGCTTCTCATGAATAATCCATTCAATAGAATTTCAAAACGACACTGTTCACTGTTTCACATTTATTCCAATGAATCTAATAAAACTATGAATGCCCGCCATTCTCCGCATTTTTGACTTAATAAAGCCAACATTTAATAACCCAGTACGAAGAAATCAACTTCTACCCCTTATCCGACCACATGTGATTAAGTCCAAGAGAGAGAAAAAAAATACAATGTACACGCTAGCCTAAATGTGACACAATGACACATTAACGGTATAATCTAACCTACATGATTAACTATATGAATTTACACGGACCGTGTAAATCATTCGACCAAAAAAAACAAAAAAACTCCAGACCGGGTCGCGCAGTACTAAAATCTATGAGTATGACTTGACCAGTATCAGTACAATTAATTACGGAATGGATCTTTTTCAGTGTGGCCATACCACGTGACATTGACGTCATTTTCGGCATCATTTCCAAGACAAATATTGCTCGATTCGGACAAGAAAATAGTCATAAATAATTTATTTCTGTACCAATTTCTTTGGGATATGCACCAGTCTACGGGGAAAAATATAAGCTTTCCACAGAATATTGGATCTTCGTCAGTTTATAAGCCATTTTATCAAACACTTTGCATAACCTTGGAAGTTGCTTGTATCAGAGCGGGCTTCAGTTGCAAGCTATTTCGTTTTCTGGCGTTATCTGGTCTACGCCATGAATAAAAAGTCAGGTTTACATCAACCGAGAGTACGGAAGGCAAAACTCTACCTAAATATGTTCATATTTTTATTATGAATGACATAAATCTTACATTTTTCTTCAATTGTCAATTCTGGTACCAGTTCCAAGTCGAAAAAAAGGACTACAGTTTAAAGCAGATTTTAGAATCCGTTGCAAATGCGAAGCAACATGCCTACCGTTCTCTTTCTACAATTTAGTTTATCATTGTTGATCTTTCACAGAGAGATTGTGAAAAAACTGATTGTTCCTTAAAGCAATAACACTTATACTTGTATCGCAATAGTGCACGTCAAATCACTTAGATTTAGTCCTGTCGGAAAATAATATTTTGGTTTCGTTTTGAAGATGTTTTAAGTATTGCTCATCTTATCCTATGTAGTAAAATGTGTTTTATTCTATTTCACAATGGCGAAATTGATAAAAAAAAATAAAATTCCACGTTTAGTATTGCTACATGACACAAATAGATTTTTCATAGTCATTACCGTGAAAGAACAATGATTAAAGAGCAAATCAATTTCTTTACAATACAGACAACAATTTTACGACTTTTAAAATCACTTATAGCGCAGCGAGTAAAAATCATTTAAATATTCATTTGTTAATGTAAATCGTATAGTAAATAAAATGTGTTTCATGGTTAACATAATTATAGAAAGAGAACGGTAGGCATGTTGCTTTGCATTTGCAACGGATTCTAAAATCTGCTTTAAACTGTAGTCCTTCTTTTCGACTTGGAGCTGGTGCCAGAATTGACATCTGAAGAAAAATATAAGATTTATGTCATTCATAATAAAAATATGAACATATTAAGGTAGAGTTTTGCCTTCCGTACTCCCGGTTGATGTAAACCTGACTTTTTATTCATGGCGTAGACCAGATAACGCCAGAAAACGAAATAGCTTGCAACTGAAGCCCGCTCTGATACAAGCAACTTCCAAGGTTATGCAAAGTGTTTGATAAAACGTCTGATAAACGGACAAATATCCAATTTTCTGTGGAAAGCTTATATTTTCCCCCGTAGACTGGTGCATATCCCAAAGAAATTGGTACAGAAATAAAATATTTACGGCTATTTTTTTTTTCGAATCGAGCAACATTTGTCTTGGAAATGATGCCGAAAATGACGTCAATGTCACGTGGCATGGCCACACTGTTTTTTACCTTTGGTATGAATTCTTTCAAGATCTTAAATAAAAGTTGTCCTCTGTGATAACGTGTATTATTAGAATTTGTTCTCGTGTCTATGAATGTTACATTCTGAGATATATCTCAAAAACTTAAAGCCTGCTAAAACTTTATCTCAACAATACAAAGAATATAAGAAATACGGAACTGTTCTTGTTCTATTGGTTTTTAAAGACACGTAAAAAGGTAATTAAAGATACGATCGGTAGGTTGGTCAAAGTTGTTATGGAAGATTCATATTGTCCGGTTTCATAGCTTTCATTCGTCAGCTGCATCAATTTAAAACAAAATAATGTTGCCCCTTGCGACCGAAAACAGAATAGTAATAGTGTTTAAGTAAAAAGACATACTTGTGTACTTTACAGTATTGCGATATATATATTACATGTATTTCTAGTTTCTTTGGATGCTGTACATAAATGCAAATACTGCATATCGAAATTGTTACAAAGCTTTAGTGTGTACACATTCTTGAGCCACTGCTAACCTGATTTGGTGGTCTCTAAAATAATCCTGTTAGTTTTCAAATTAAAGGCCCGACATGGCCGGATGAAGTAATAATTTGTAATATGTGCAAGGTATGATCAAAAAGTTCTCGGCCCGATATTCTTCTAGCCACTACACTGCACTGACATTTACACACGATATGTCGATACCGATATCTTATTAAAGATTAACACAGATTAAATAACATAAAACACACTTTGATCAGAATAGGGGTGTGTCTTTTAGACTAAATGGAGAAAGTTGAAATCAGAGCTGTCATTAAGTACCTCTGTAAGGAAGGGATGTCCCCCAAGGAAATCAATGAAGACTTCATGGATACACTAACTTGAGAAGGAGTTCCCTTCCTATAGCACTGTGGAAAAACGGGCTGCTGAATTCAAGAGGGGCAGGGAGAGCATTGGAGGTGATGAGCGGCCAAAAGAGGTCACCAAAGATGAAACTGCCAAAGCTGTACACGATCTGGTCATGTGCGACAGAAGGCGAGACCTGCGAAGCATTGCTAGGGACTATAGTGGGTATAAGCTTTGGTTCAGTTCAGGCAATTCTGACTGATGTCTATGGCATGTCATAAGTTTCCGCTAGATGGATCCCCAGACAGTTGACTGACGGCCAGAAACGGACCAGGCTTGTCCTTACAAGATATATTTTGTCTCGCTACGGATGAACCTCATTTTATCTACAGAATCGGAACTCAGGATGAAACATGGTTCCATCACTTCGATCAAGAATATAAAAAAAAACAAAGCATGCAGTGGAAGCACCCTGGCTCACCCCCTCCGAGGAAATTCAAGAGGGTGCCATCAGCAGGAAAGACGATAGTTTCAATTTGTTGGGATAGTCAGGGGTAATCATGATTGACTATCTTGAGCAAGGTCGTACCATAAACGGTACGTACTAGGCAGACGAATTTAGGCATGTGCGTCAAGAAATCGCGCGTAAAAGGAGGGGCAAACTGACTCAAGGTGTTCTGCTACTGCACGACAATGCGCTAGCTCACACATCCGAAGTTGTGATGGATACTGCAACTGACTGCGGCTTTGAAATGAAGGTGTCATAGAGGCTTTAAATGAGTTCTTTGAGGATCTATTTTGAAGGGTTAAACAAGTTGGAGTACCGGTGGACAAAGTGTATTGATGTAGAGGGCTATTATATTGAAAAGAAAGACAATTAGTTGGGTTCTCTGACTACCGAAAGTACATCGGGCCAAGAACTTTTTGACCAATCCTCGTATTTTTACTATATTATAAATATTTAAATGTCATTCTAATAGTTTTTACTCTCACACACTCTTATATTTTGATAATCCTGCCGTTGCTTTTAAAGATGAACACCTTTTATCGCTGATCCCGTTATAGTATGTACATGTTCATCTGCTTCTACATCGAACGTATAATCAAAGGAAGCCATTACGATATTGTGTCCATGGCTTTTCAATAATGTATTTGCCAAAATAGTTTTCCACAGCCGGCAAAATCATATCATTATCTGGGTGGAAAAAAGTAAATGTATAATATGGTATACCGGTATTCGTGGCACCGGTAATAGTTTACTGAATTATGGGATTAACTGCTTTGTTTTATACTTAATATAAAGGAAGGCGAATATAGGGTTTATTTATCGTATATGTATGTTAAGGACATTAAATATTAGATATAATTGTCAGAAGTATATTTTTCCATATTGCAAACATGATATGATTTGACATGATATCGCCAATCTGCCGTTGAATATCACATCATATTCAATGGCTCATCACTGGTCAATAATTGTATAATAATGTATATTGTTATGAACTGTTTGTCGTTTTACGAATAACTTTAAGCTCAATTTGATAATGTCGGAAAAGAAACCATTTTAAATTCTATTTATATTTATTTTTGTTTTTGTATCCTTCTTTTAGTCATATGGCTTTTTTTATTATTTTTTCTACAAAATTTTATTACATTTAATATTAAGCATATATAATAACATATTGCTTTATTATCATTTTTCTCTAAAATATTGTCTTTAAATATATACCCAATAAAAATAATCATGACATAATGTTATATTTTACTGCATATTTACTTTTAATAACGTTTGTTTTCTAATAAAAGATAAAGAACCCTGACATTTCTGAAGAGAAAATTGTCATTTCAATGAAAACCTCACGGTATTGGAAAATTATTGACAAAGGCGGTGGAACATGTCCAATGTGGGCATTGGAAAAGTAGACTCATAAAAGCGTGAGTGTCAACAGAAAAACGTGGAATGGGTGGAAATAAAAGTCTTTGTCAGATAGGCAAGCAATTATTTTCCAAAGCGAAACACGTTTGACATAGACCTTTTTTCAACTCACAAGAAAGTTTTCAACAATTCATTTATATATTCATTTCTGATCTTGGATATTTCACAATTTGCTGCCTGCAAAGGTATTCTGCTAATAGGAGCACGTCTTTTATTTTATGACAAACTCTTCGGCATGGATTAAGATTGAAAGTTGGTAAACTTTAGCACTCAAAGCTGTAACGAAAAAGTTTAACAAATAAAAATGTAAGTATAGTTTAAATAAAACAGTTTTTATATATATTGTGTAGACTTAGTTGACAAATTAGCAGGTGTCTATGAAAATATTTCATAGATTGTTTCGATTTATCTAAAAATAATATAGATATAAATCGTCTTTATTTCGTAATTTTGCGTCACAATGCTGCTACGTTACTCCCAGTGATTCTTACAAATATAAACTGTAGACAGAAATTGAAATAAAAAATAAAATGTTGAAAATCAACACGTTTCAAAACATGTTTTTTTTTCTCTAATAAAGACATTGTAAAAACATTTATCTTTTTTAATATTTGTTCTCCCTGCAATCAAAGTCTTTTTGTTTTTGACGTCTTATAATTTATAGTATTTGACGTCTTATAATTTATAGTGATAAGTCTTAAATATGTTTAATACATCATCATTATTATCATTATTATTATCATTTTATAATGTTGATCACTAGCTTTTATGTAAATCGTAACATTTCTATACTGCAGTATGGAAATAATAGTAATACAAGTTCGCCGCTTGATTCAGTGATTGAATGGCAAGCGTTGAAATCACGAGTATATTTCAGTTATACTTCCTCTCCTAATGAAAATCATGTGTGTTGTTTTTGCAATGCTTTGCGTCCTGTGAACGTTGTCATTGCATTGTGATCTTTTTTCTCATTTTTTGTGGCAATAAAAATTTTAAACAATTACATTGTTTTCAAAAATTCGCATAACAAATTCATGGTTGTCAAACTGACAGCATAAAGTAAGAAAATGAGTGTTCTTCGAATACATTTTTAACTATTATTCAAAGGTCAGATTAGCATTTTATCAATGCATCATTTTATATTGAATAAAAATTTTACAGAATATTAAATCAGATATGCTGCTTAAAAAGGGAGTCTTACAAAAGTTGTTGTAAAATTGTTTTATAGTAACTGTTAAATTCTAAATCGGACAAAAATGGAGAGAGAAGGGAAAAATCAAACAAAGCGGATATAATATAGGTAACAAATCTTTTTTTAGGATTCTAGGGCAAAATATACCAAACCTGTTTAGCCGCAGTGATAAATACATAATAATAAAAAATCCGTTGAAAAAGTTAAAGTTTAAACATCTGTGAAAAGATTTTTTCTATTTATTCATGTATTTGCAAAACAAACAAGAAATATATCGTAAAATATAAACTGAAACAGCTTTCATATTTAAAGAGCATAGGTATTCATTTTATATTGTAACTTATTAAAAACATCAGTAAGTTTACAAAGCTTCTTAGTAATATTGACGGAGTTTTAACAAATAATAACTTTATGCATAAAAGACTGAGGTTCTAGATTTAAAAAAAAAATCAAAAAAAAAAATGAAATAAAAAAAAAATAAATAAACGCTTTGGACTTTGATATAGTCATATGAAAATATAATATTTTCATGTAGTTCTAATATTTGCCTTGATTCGAGGTCATTTTTACATTCGTATTAAAATGGCAATCAGTTTAAGAGGAATGGTCTATAATGGAAGGTCTGTAAAACTATAAATATTTACGTTGATAGTATTTGATGTTAAACATAACAACAAGCCTCTAAACAAATATATGAGCCGCGTCATGACAAAACCAACATAATGGGTTTGCGACCAGCATGAATCCAGACCAGCCTGCGCATCCGCGCAGTCTGATCAGGATCCATGCTGTTCGCTATCAGTTTCTCTTCTTGTAATAGAGTTGGTAAGCGAACAGCATGGATCCTGATCAGACTGCGCGGATGCGCAGGCTGGTCTGGATCCATGCTGGTCGCAAACCCATTATGTTGGTTTTGTCATGACGCGGCTCATATGTGGGTGTTTGGATTCATGATTCATTATAACATATATTTGTAAAGCAGGTACTAAATTCTTCTAGAATTCATCATATAAATGGTCATCACCCGATAAACATTTTTTTTCTTCAACAAAAAGTGTATGATAATATCCTAACGACACATTTCTATTGTTTTTTAACAATATTTGAAAATTTTCTGGAAAATGTGCCCATTGTAGACCAATTTACTTTAAAGCTTGATTTGTTTTAAATACCACGTTATATATTACCTCATTTGCGACACATTCACAAACGTCATATTCTAAATCCTGTCAAGAAAACTGCAATAAACTATAGTTATTCTACTGTACTGATAGAAAATATCGTTTAGATTAAATGAAAATTATACAAAATATATATGTTCATATAGGTCTTCAATTTGGTGAATTATAAAAGATTGCATTTTATTGAAAACATAAAATATTTGGACTACTATAACATACATTTATTTGAAGCCAAAGTAAATTGATCATTATAAATAACAGAAAAAAATAGCATAGATGAGCCGTAACACATATTAAAATCTAAAATTAAATTATTAAGATCCATTTAAGTGCCCATTTAAGATGTTTCAAATAAAAAAAGCCATATCAATTCATTATACTATTACCGTCAGCAGTGTATGATTTAAAAATAAGGCTTTTCAAGTCATTTACTCACGAATTAGGCATAATTTATCCACTTATCTTAATATATATCCCGAAATAAAACAGCTTTTATTTTACAACCCACATTATACATGTAAGATATAAATAACAAATAATAAGCTATTAAATAAAAGAGTATATTATTTTTATCAGAAAACATTTTTAAATATTACACTGTTAAGTTGTTACAAAACGATTGTCATTTTTTTTATTTGAAGCTTAAAGATCCTGTATGTCGTAATTAAGGATATAATATACAGTTAAGTGAAGCTTTATATAATTGAGCCGCGTCACGACAAAACCAACATAAAGGGTTTGCGACCAGCATGGATCCAGACCAGCCTGCGCATCCGCGCTGTCTGATCAGGATCCATGCTGCTAGCTATCAGTTTCACTATTTGTTATAGACTTTGTAAGCGAACAGCATGGATCCTGATCAGACTGCGCGGATGCGCAGGCTGGTCTGGATCCATGCTGGTCGCAAACCCATTACGTTGGTTTTGTCATGACGCGGCTCATATGTATATAACTTGTCTTCTAAAACAATTTCCAACATCCAAGAATATGTTAAATATGTACAGCAAATATTTATGTACATTATAATTAAACGTTGAAACTTAATGCATTCATTGTTTATTAAAAAAAAAAAACTGGCATAGACTTTATCGAAAATAAATTTCTAAGTATACCTCCCTCTAATTTCAAATAATGCTTTTTGAAACTTACAATTTTGATAAATCTTCATTTGAGCATCAGATTTACCATATAAAATCATAAAAAAATATTGCGTTACAGGATCTTTAAAGGTTTTCCAATATCGTGATAAAAGACTAATAATTAACTAATTAAGATAAGAAGATTTTTAAGAAATAGCCATTTAACACGCATGCGATATATATGATTTTCAAATAAAACATTTTGATAAAATCTTGATGTTTGCCCCTTCGCGAGTTTTTTTTCTATTTTCTTTTTTTTCTACCGGCTCGATCCCTTAATTTGATATTTTGCTTTGTGTAGGAAGTCAATCGTGTATGTTTAGTACGTGGTTTGGCTGTACAGTTAAAAATAGAAATAACTTTTCGAACTCTTGGATCAGCTTTCGTGATACTATTCTTGCTTTCAGATTTTTTTTACGTTTTTAGATTAAAAAGGAAATGACTTTGAAGGCTTGTCGGTTGCTCTAAGATTAAATTTAAAATTCTCTAAGTAGTTGATTAATTTAGATGCAGTTCTTTGAAACTTGGTCGTATACTATGAACAATATTATACAATATCTTATATTTAAATGGAGAAACTTTATATCATTTAATTTCGTGTATATATCAATTCGTCACATGAATTTTTAATCTATTTTGTCTCATTCAATTTCTGCAATTAGAATTAGCATCAAACCAATGAAAACGTCAATTCATCGTATACATGTATTTATAAACATTTAAAGTTAGCATGCTTTTACTAAGTAGCAAGTTCCAAGATCGCCTTGGAAATAAGAAAAAACGAGCAACATTAAAATTATGCAACCAAAACTATTTCGTAACATTTCAAGTTAGTATTCAATGTGAACAGTACATGTACATGAATAACTGTCAAATTATCAAACGCAAATGCCTTACAATTTTTTTCAATAATATTTTATTATAGATATGATTATATAACATTTGTTATTGGTTTATGATGTAGCAGTCTGTCAGTAGATAATTCATCTACTGGTATTAAATCATTGAAAGTTGTATCTGAAATTCATTTATTGATCAAAACTGTTTATAAATAAACTTGTGTTCATGATAACCGTCATTAAACCATTTCTAAACGCTTTATTTTCTTCAAGTATCCATTCACTCGAGCTATTGCAAGGCCGTAATTGCATTGTAGTTATTAAACCAATTAATTATTATAGCGCCAATTTCGTTCCAAAAGTAATTGATATTATACGTGGGCGTAACGACGTCATATGGCATACGATTGTTACTAACTAACAACGCATCGAATAAAAGAACAAAGTTGATATTGTTTCAAGTGTCAACACATTTCCTGGTATGGGTATAATTGATATACTAGACAATATATACTAGAGTATACTAGACAATTGCCCGATACACTAAAAATTAGCAAGCAAATGTGACAAAGTTGTTATCACTAGAAACTTGTTTTGTTTTCTACTCAGGATGTCTGTCTCTGAGTGTTTATTATATGAGGTCATTATACATTGTTGAGTACAATACAGAATTCTATTGGACGAGTACACTGCTGTCAAAGCTATATTGGACGAGACGCAAACCGAGCCTGATATAGGTTATACAGCAATGTACTCCTCCAATAGAATCAGAACTGTTCTCAGCCATGTTTATTGACCTCTTTATTATACACCAACATTTTTTGACATTTTGACAGAACTTTTTTCCTTCAATTACAACAAGAATGTTATAAGGATTCCGGAGTCTCTAAATGGAAATGTGGCTAGATGGAGTTTGATATGCATTTGATATAGATATTTTGGTCTCTAATAATGAACAATATGCTATATTGGGAGTGATATGGATTTAATAAGAACCTTTTAGACACAGGAAATGAAATAATTTTGAAATACAAATATACAAAGAGATAATTACGGATTTTTTTCGAAATGGATACTAGAAAGCAAGAAGGAAATGATAAACTTTTTTTTCAGTAAAGAAACTTACCTATATAACATATTTAAATATCTTATTAAGTTTATGATAATATCATATTACATACATAAATACCCCCCCAAAAAATCTTCTAGTAAATTTCCTGAAATAATTGTGTACAGTGTAAATAGATTGTTTTCAAGGAAATTATGAAATCGGTCAGTTAAATGTTCATACCCATGTTAAGTTCACAAAATTTACACACATTCCCTTTCATTCCCACAAAGCAGAGCTGACTATATAAATTGTCTATGATAAAACGACTGAAAACATTAACTTAAAAAGTATATACTGGCGTAACGTATCTTAGTGAGTGAAAAGATAGGCAGGAAGTCCATCTGTACTTTTGTATTTTGATTTCGTGTTATAGTTTTGAAGAAGCCAATCGTTAATAAACTTTAATCTAAAATTACAGGCTGCAATAGAAACTTTATAAAAAAAAAAGGCTCTGTGTTTAATAAATCGTTTGAATTATTATTGTACATAGAAATGTTATTTTGTCTTGGCCATATTCTAAAAATATTTACTTGTAAATGGCCAAAGGCATTTTTATATTGATTGCTAATAAAGATTGATTGATCGATCACTCGATCACTCGATCGATCGATTGATTGATTGATTGATTTGTTGTTAATTGAAGGACAGAAAGTATTATGCCTTACCCTCTCTTCAGAACCTTCAAAGTTTATGATTTAATATAGAAACCAAAGAAACAGTTGTCTCAACTGATAATTGACCGATAAATGTTTATTTTTTCTATTCTAAAATGCAAACATGATTATTGAAACTAATGTATAAACTATCATTCGATAAGAAACTATTTACTAAAATTATTAGATTATTTAGATAAGTACTATACTTAAATTATTAGATTATTAGTCACGTGTTATTATACACGGAGAACGTGGTTAAAAGAACGGTATCATAAACACATTTTTTAAGGAGCCATGGCATTATGGATTTATGGCATTTAAATGATCAATCCTTCATCTTGTATCAAAGGTTTATATTATTATCTTCAAGTATTAATGAATATTGATACTCATGAAAAGACTATATTTTTCTATATGTAAACCATGTTCTCTTTGTACATGCATACTTTGTATGCGGAAACATTGTAAATGCTGGGGAAAAAAACTATAATTTTCGATAATGTACCATAGTATAACATTTAAAAAAAAGATTTTTACATTCATGTACATCTGGTACTATATTACATGTGAAATTAGTAAGCTTTTCTCGAAAACGCAACCAAACGATAAAAGAAGTAACATTTAAAATTGAGCCGCGTCATGACAAAACCAACATAATGGGTTTGCGACCAGAATGGATCCAGACCAGCCTGCGCATCCACGCAGTCTGATCAGGATCCATGCTGTTCGCTATCAGTTTCTTAACTTGTAATAGAGTTGGTAAGCGAACAGCATGGATCCTGATCAGACTGCGCGGATGCGCAGGCTGGTCTGGATCCATGCTGGTCGCAAACCCACTATGTTGGTTTTGTCGTGACGCGGCTCAAATGATTTATTTATTATTATTAAATATAATGTTACCAAGTCATTTATCAAAAAGTGATGTTTCCTTTTTTAAGGTTGTGATGATCATAAGTAGAAGGCAAATTGTCCACGAAGCTGGTTAGTACACTATGCCAATGATTGAATATATATGGGTAAGAAAATCTTTTGATTTCGTTATATTTTATATGATATTCTATGTGCATAAAACTTAACGTTTTCTCTCTTTAAGATAACTGTTTATTATAACTGTTTTTAATAACTGTTTATAATGACTGTTTGTAATATATGTTTATAATAACTGTTTATAATAACTGTTTAAAATAACTGTTTATAATAACTGTTTATAATAACTGTTTATAATAACTGTTTATAATAACTGTTTATAATATATGTTTATAATAACTGTTTATAATAAATGTTTATAATAACTGTTTATTAACTGTTTATAATAACTGTTTATAATAAATGTTTATAATGAATGTTTATAATGAATGTTTATATTAATAACTGTTCAAAAGAATGGAATTATACTTGTACATGAAAAAAGAAATGAAATTTATGAAAATATTAATGTGAATTTCACATAATTATCCTGACAGCTTTTACCACAGATGTGTATTTCTTGTATCAAATATGATTATACTCTACCAAATTGTTTTTTTAAGTGAGAGTAATATTTTCTTAAATGATTGTCGTTCACTCTCCATCTCTACGTTAAATTTGTTGAAAATAAACGTGACATATTTGTGTATTTATAGTGTAGTGATTATGTACTATGTACAAATCCAAAATTTCTGTTCTGTTCTGTGTATTAACTTCTTTTTGTATTTTTTTTTCCAAAAATGTAATGCTTTGTATCTATTGCAAAATATTTATGCCATGGTATGTATCATACTTTACATAACAAAGTTTGTTTGTTTCAATCTTGTACATAGTTTAAAGTCATTTTGTATAAATTTCTAAAATATGGCATAAATAATATTTACTTTTGACGTCAATGGTGTGTTAATTAGATGATTCATAATTTTCAATTCACATCATTACCATCTTCCACAATACAGCGTCTGTGACTTGTTTTTCATATGAATTGATTTAACAATCACACACTACACTTGTTTTACCGCGAGTATCACATTTAGTTTGATGTATGATGCACTATAAAATCTTTGATTTGGCGACTGATAGGCCCGTTGGGACGGTGCTATAAATAATATATATATTTATATACATATACAAAACAAAAGTCCTCCGATTAAAATTTTGATTTTTAGTATATCTGAGAGTATTCGGATCGTCGATTTTAATTTTTACCGAAAAGATACTATATTTTTTAATTGTGTACACTTACACATCGTCATACAAATATAAGCAATTTTACAACACATATAAACCTAAATAACAAGATCAGATCTAAACATGTCCTTTTCAAATCTAATATAGAGGATGAATTATTAATATATTAAAACTGTATCTACTTTATCTGAGGCATCGCATCTTTTACATACAAGGATAACTATAAAAAGATACTATTTCCGATTTCAGCATATCAGTGAATTTAAACATACTAGGTCTAGTATAATAATATCTTGTTATCTATTTTTCCCTCGTATCAATATTACAAGGACAAATTAAAATGAAATGATATTCATCTTCTACGCCACGAAGATTACAATTTAAACAATATATTTCATCTCTAACAGTTCATATAATATCTACCAATTTACACATGCAATGAACACGAAGATATCCTCATTTTTGTAAGATATTTCCTTAAAGTGTTGGGTATTATATCGAGATTTTTTTCATATATAACAGAATCTTTAACATGAATATACAAAAACAACACATAACTGTTCTCTTTACTATAAAGCAAACTTTGTTAAAAACAACAAATTAGCCTTTGCACAATTACAAATCTAAGATACATCTTTCCTTTTTGCTTGTTTCGTATCATCTAATGTTAATGCGCACTTTTTTAAAAACAAAAGGCAAATTCTGAGAAAAGTTGATAATTGAAATTTGCAAATAAAATTCTACTACTTACGTAACAAACGATGCAGAATTCTATTGATATCTATCAAGGCCGTTTTATCTATGTCTCAAAACTGTTGCCCTGAGGTATCAGGGATGGCATTTGGAACTGTTACCTAATACTTTGCAAGCAAACTACAATATACTGCAACGAAATACTAATAACATTTTACAACTGTTTTTAATTGTTTACAACCGAATCCTACAGACGAACCACTACATTGAGCTGCGCGACGTTCGATAACCGAACATATATATTGCCCATTATGGACTATTGTTGTATTATATGGGGTAAAGGAAACACAAACTACATAAATAATGTTTGTAAGTTACAAAAACGAATTGCTAAAATCATTTTACAGCAACCACAAAGATCTCCGTCAATAAATCTATTCGAAACTCTTAACTGGTTACCGTTCCTTGACAGATGTAAATACCACACAGCGGTGCTTGTTTTTAAAACTTTAAATAACATGGCACCGACTTATATCACAGAACTGATGACTTTATCCGACAACAAAATATATAACTTAAGATCTAGGTCACGAAAAGATATTGTATTATGGACAAGACCTAAAACAAATTATATTAAAGACACATTTTCTTATTATGGCATGAACATTTGGAACAATATACCTTTAAATATTCGTAATGTTAATAACCTTAAATGTTTTAAAGAAAAATACAAAGCATATCATGATGTTCATATGAATGAATGAGTGAGTGAATGAATGAATGAATGAATGAATAAATGAACGAACGAATGAACGAACGAACGAATGATGCAATATACGTATATGTTTAAACAAATTGTTGAGTGTCTGTCGAAAGTATATGAGTTGTATTATTCTAAAAATTACATATTATACATTCATTTTTCTACCTATGCATGTCCTGTTGTTGTTGTTGTTGTTTTCTATTTCAGAAGGCCACATTGGAAATAAGATATATATGATTGTTATTGTATGTTCTTAATGTGTAACCTTCTTTAAATAAAGATATTATTATTATTATTATTACCGAATAGTGGTGGGCGGCGTCAAAATATACCCGATGACGTCGATAGGGATGTAATAGCTAAAATGTTTACCGTCAACAGTTTCCATTCATCATTGCGCATGCACACGATTTCAGTAGTTCAATTAAACAATTAAACAGTTGTACACAAGAAATTTGTATTTATAGAAGTCATTAGGTAATAATATGAACCGCGTCATGACAAAACCGACATAATGGGTTTGCGACCAGCATGGATCCAGACCAGCCTGCGCATCCGCGCAGTCTGATCAGGATACATTGATGCTGTTCGCTATTAGTTTATTTACTTGTTATAGGGTCTGTAAGCGCAAAGCATGGATCCTGATCAGACTGCGCGGATACGCAGGCTGGTCTGGATCCATGCTGATCGCAAACGCACTATGTTGGTTTTGTCGTGAAGCGGCTCAATTATAGATCATTAAGATTTACATGATGACCTTATTATGCCTTTCACTTCATTGATTAAGTTACCATCTTCTACAATACAGCTTCTAAGTTCTAAGACCTATATTCTGAGTATCTGTGTCCTTGTTTTAAAATCCATGTTCTAAATATTTAGTTCTAATATCTAAATTTTAAGATCTATAATTATGGAATCTCTGACATTACTTTATCTTTGATTTTAAATAATCTATGTTTTGACATTGATTTAAAATGTCAAGGACGTACATATATAATCAGTTCAATGAAAACAAACGCTTTTTTTAAGGACGTTCATAGTATCTAGTAATTAATTATAAATCAAATCATTTTGATGTACATGTAATGAAGTCATATTAATTAAGATCTTAGAACTTTTTTTACCATCTTTCATAAGCACAGCCGACTGATAAACCGCCTTTCATAATTCAGCTTCTAAGATTCGACTTCTAAGTTCTAAGATCTAAGTCAAAATTGCCTCAGTAGCCTTACGTTGAAACAGTGCTTTTTATTGAAAGAAAAAAGCTTAATTTTAAAGACTCGAACTTCGAATACGATATTCCACCCGTATTAAAACACACATATTATACCTTTTTTCAAAAAGAGACACACGTACTTTTATAACGTCTACAAGTAAAACAGCATCTCTACCATTAGTTTCACGTGAAAACAAAAACTGTTTTCAGCGGTCATGCTCTGGGAAACAGTTCACAATTAACCTCTTATCCCTGGTTATTTACAAAATTGAATAATGATATTTATTATCGGAATTAATTATCTATATATGAGATTAATGGCATTTTAATTAATCTTTCATTAATCACTTTTTTGTCTCCAGAAGTTATTATATTTTTTTATATGTTATGCTTATGAAATTGATTGGCTGACAATTTCTCGTTTCATGTGTTATTATGTGCTAATGATAGTTTTTGTTTTGTTTCGGATATTATTGTAAACTACTACTGTTATTTGGTAATTAATTTATTGTTTTAGGTGCTATTGTATGCTAGTAATGTAATTTTGTCATTAATTTATTGTTTCATGTGCTATTATATGCTAGTGATGTTATTGGGTCGCTAATTTATTATTTCATATGCTATTATATGCAAGTAATGCTATTTGGTCACTTATTTATTGTTTGATGTGCTATCATATGCATGTAATGTTATTTGGTCACTAATTTATTGTTTCAGGTGCTACTGGGGTTGATGGTCTACCTGATTGGTGTTATTGTACAGGCGACACATACGTCCGTATTGCAAGACCTCCTCATTCCTGTTGATAATAGGTATGTAGAGGTGCATCTAAACACGACACATAGTGGTTAAGTATCCGAACATGGATTCAATGTATCCGAACATATAGTCAATGTATTAGAGCAGAGTATAAATGTATCAGAACATAGTTTCATTGTATCAGAACATAGTGTCAATGTACATTGTATTAGAACACATTGTTAATGTTGTAGCACATAGTGTCAATGTATTAGGACATAGAGTTAATGTATCAGAACTTAGTGTCAGTGTATTAGAACGTAGTGTTAATGTTTTAAAACATAGTGTTAAGGTATCGATTGTTAGTACATAGGTTTAGTTTGCATTATATAGTGATATTTCTAACAAAATAATTAACATGATAATGTGTAAAGCTGTTCAAATTTCAATTCTATCCTAAGAATATTTCAATTATACATCATTATAAATCGATCTTACAGATGTAACAATATAAATTGAACGCTAATAATCATGCATATTCTGATAAAAAATATCAATGAATACTGTTTCAAAATAGTTGGGTTTTTTCAATTTCAGTTATATGTTTGATCAAAAACGTTCTCATCACAGCCGACACCATTCAACACATTCCACTCGAGTTTTCCAAGATTTGCCATCTGAATGTTGCCCCTCAATAAAACGAACGATTGCTCCCCTTGGGGGCTTGTCAAGGGAAGGAACTCTGTTACAATTGTATCGCACTGACGAGACCGTACAAAAATTTTACGAGACAACATGTGCGCACAATGTTGAAAACAAACCTTGTTATTTTATAAATCAATCGGAATGGAGATCAGTATGTAGGCAGAAAACTAGTTATACGTATGCTATTGTAAAAGATTTTAATGTAACTGAAGACCATAGAATAGATTACATGAAAATTAATTCCGGATGTTCTTGCACAATTCTAGGACCGGCTAGACCTCCTGCTATTAGTCTACAGGCCGAAATTCTCCATGAACTGGAAGAATCGGGCATACTTAACAAAAAGTGATATTCTAAATGATATTTTTAAAATCATAATTGTCTCAGTTTGAACAAGGCTGTCTTTTCTTATTCTGTAATATGTAATTAAGTTAATGACGATTTGGATATATTCTAAGATTTGTATACAGGGATTTATCTTGTTTCAATTGCTTTTCTTATTTATTTTTTGTTCTGTTTCAAATTTTTCACTCTAAAAATTCATATAATAAAAGTTCTCAGCATCACAGTATTATTTCAATTACTTTTAAGCACAAACAAGCACACGCAAAAAAAATATTGTGATGAACTTTTCTTATATTATCACTTAACAAACTGATGAAAACTTTTAAAATCATTTGGAAAAAAAAAATGCTCAAGATTTTTACAGAGCTAGAGGCTGCCTTTCTGTAAGCATGGCCTTTCCGTGTTGGTTCTTTCTTTCACAGCATAGCTAGTTTATCTTTTTTAATCAAACACAATTATTTTCATAAAGACTAGATAATTTCCAATTTCCGAAACAAGTGTAGTGTTTGTGAATACTTTGTAACTATATAATCTATATACTTTTCTTTGCCATAAATGAAATAAAAGTACATTGACATTTATATCGGATAAAAGTACATAATTTTTTAAAGACCTTACGATATGCATATACGCGTGCGTCAGTTATTAATTTAAGTCCGTTCCTAGGCAATGATTGTGTCATACTTTATTTACATACATTTTTTTAAAATTCTTAAAATGCCGCGAACTGTTTCTTTACTTTACAACCGATTATTTTATTTGTGGAATAATGCTGAATAAAATATAGTTTTAACCACAATTGTTATTTGTTGTTTATACATATATATCCGTGTAACCCTTTTACACATATGCAAACTTGCTTCGCCATGTTCGTACATGTTTGTCGTATCACGTTGTCATTGTGTCGTTTTTGTCGACTTAAGGCGTGGTTACAAACGAACACACAACGTTAAACAGTTGCACGATATTTGCTCGATAAAAAAGTCATTTGTCCTGTCGCATTGTCATGAGTCGGGGCATACAGCAATAAATCGCATCAAATGTCATAATGTCGCCTTTGAAGACACCTGAACAACGCACGACATTTAGACGCACTGTATCAATACAATACAGTACAATAGGACACGACATAAATAACTCAACACGACACTTGAAATTATTTTAAAGGCACATTAAACTTCAGAAATTACTATAATTTCTTCTCAAGAAAAGACAAACATTTGTTTTATTATATCTTAATAATTTATTTTACACCATGGTAGATGCTTTTTAAGCGAAAATAGTAGTCTTGATAAGTAAAAATATTTTTAATAAATGTAGCAAGATATAAACAAATCGTCGCCCTATTCTAAAAATGGTGTATCTACAATTTCCTCTTTTTTGGGAAAAAGGGGTTAAAGATTCAAGACTTCGTAACTTTTATTTGATAACTCCTTACAGTGTGGAATTCTGGACTGGTATTATTTATGTCAACATGTGATAAAAGCACTTTGTTATATATCTTTATAATTTGCAGTAATTGAAAAAATAAAAAAATATATTTGGAGATAGACCAAAAATGTTTATTTTTAAATAAAAGAAATACTCTTAAAATGGGTTTGCGGAGATATGACAAAGTAAGGCTAAAATTGTAGATACTTTTTGAGTTAGCATTTTTAAGAGTAATAATTTTACTATAGAATATTAGTAGATTTTTATATTCTTAAGAACATTTTCTGCCAGAGTGGTTGAACCGCTGACACTGAATCACTTTATCGTTGTAAATTACTATGTCAAAGTGTAAATTCATTCACATGATCAGCATCTTGGGCCTCTCTCGATAATGAGCCATATGACCTTAATTTTGTCAAAGCAACGTACGTAGAACTTTTAAAAAAGAAAGACAAACATTTCACAATTTTTTTTAAATCAACGAACTTGTTAAAACAAACTGACATATTTTGTACCGTTATGAAAAATGACCAATCATTTTAACCATCTCTAATATTGTGATTAAATAAATGCATATCCAAATTATCATGTACTGAAATGCCGAGGTATAAAGGACTGTCAATGACTTCTATAACCCTTTTTTTAAGTTCACACAATTACACAACGTAGATACTGGACATTCTAATAATATCGTCCATGAACAGGCTAAATCAAACCGAGCCGGCAACATACTAGATAATGCCGTATTGTGCTTTAAGGATTCTGCTATTATCTAATAAATATAATCATTGATGACCCGGAGAGCACTGCAACTTGCATGCAAACTTAAAATCCATGTTTGGGCAAGACAGTGGTATTCCAATCCTATTGGAATGTTAAATATCTAAATCTTTTGACTTAACACAATGAATTATCTGACACTGATGGCAAGTCAAAATGTCTCCACAGACTTGATGTTGTAGATATTAAATTCCATAGTTTTGTGGAAGTTCTGCTAACTGAAGTCACAAGTTCTAAGAAACAACATTTCTGTAAGGACAACGTCTGATAATATAAGTTAGTCTGACCTGAAATAGACAAAATAATAGCATTAACAATTAAACAACAACAATGTTCGATACTCCAAATAGTTCCAAATGGTTCATACTAATATCCGAATATGGTTATCCGAAATTATGTGATTGTCAAACTTGGAGAAATATATATAAAAAAATTATAATACGATGAAACAAATACTAATGCAAAATATACATTCACTTATAAAACGTATAAAAGCTAAAATATATTACTTACATTCTTCAGAAATCATTTTTTAACTGTTACTTACCTAGTTAGCTTGCTGATTGAGATATGATTGTTGTTATTATCACTGGAGTTAGAACAATTTTATTGTCAGGCCCCTTCAGGTCACATGACATGTATTTTTCAATTTGATTGGCTGGCACGAAAGATTAGCCTAAAATTGTTACATGTGTTGGAGATACGACGAAAAAAGGCTAACAGCAAAGCTTTCCATTGGACATAGAACAACATACAGACGCTCTATCTACAAAAGTATGACGTAAATCTTTACATGTTTTGTTTTGGAGATAGAACAAACTAATACTAAAATTAATATGCAGTTATCTCAATTTTGGTAAAAATGGAGTTAGGACATTTTTAGAATAAGGCGACGAAATAGTATTTTGACGTTTATCAATTAAAATGCTAAAATGATGAACATGGTTCAGAGATAACGTCAATGAGAATCATTTTGGAAATTGTTAAAATTCACCTTAAAGGGACTCTAAAATTTCTGCAAAAATAGGCCTGAAAGTCGGACTAAGTTGTGTGTAAAACAATTGTCAGTTTCACAATGTTCAAATGTTAATGTGGCCATATCACGCGACCTTTACGATACGGAACATGTGTATTTCGTTTTATGTACATGCAACTATGGTCATTTATAAATATCTTTAATGTTAGCAGACCGATTTTATCGAGATAAAAAGCAGAATACTATATTTATTATTAGATCCTTTAAATTATTTTTCAGAACATTCGGCTTTGTACACAATCGTTTATGGCAACTTGCTCTCGTTTAACATATATATTTGTTATTGTCAAATTGTATCGAGTTACTGCATTGCCATGTCGGCATAAATTTTCATAAATTTTTAATGTAATAGTTCGAAACACAAAGCGTTATTTGATACGGTATACACTGTGTATTTCCTGTCATTTTCCAATTAAAAATGAAAATAATCTGATATTTATTCTTACTAATAATTCTATGTTTTTCCCAATTGGCAATATGAGAGCACCAGAATCTTGCTTTTCTGCAATTTTTCGTGTTAATACTAGCTTGTAGTATGTAGATTCATTTGAGACAAAGAAGAATAATATGAGGTTATTTAGGGCATTCTTGAAACATCACGGAATTTAGACTAACCAGCTTAATACATGCCTGTAGTCATGCCTGTAAACAGAAAGATAAAAGTCGTCAGAAATGATAAAAGTTTCAGATTTTCCGGACCATATCTTCTTCATACATGGATTAATTTTAGTATCATTTGATACAGACATTAACCACCATCGTAAGAAGTGTCGCTCGAATAAAGTAGGTCTGTAGGCGAAGGTCACATTTAAATTATATTAATGGTCAGAAAGGTAAAAAATATCTAAAGCAAAAGTCAATAATACCTGAGGTATTTTTATACAATTTTGCAAAAAAAGGTCACAATTTGGAGCCCGAAAGCTGTGCACAAAACTTAGGTACATGTGGCCGAGGTAAAGGTCACACATATAAGCCAAATGCCATATTAAAATAAGAATGTATGTATATTGACAATTGTCAACGTGACCGATTGACAATTGTGTAATCTATTTCACGTCATAAGGCTGAGAAATGTCAGTGTAATTCAGGTAAAAGGCCAATGAGACGAAGATAATTGAATAAATTTGTCCGGAGAATATCAACAACATGCATGGAGGGATTTAAGAATTATTTGATACATATGTTCATCACCATGTTCGTTCTTTGATTAAATGGTTAAACCCAAATTGTTTTGGTTTAAACCACGATTTCATTTTTATTAAATTTGAACAGTTTGTCCGCCTAACCAGATTTCCGTGGAAAGCTTACCAGTAATTTCAATAATTACTATGTTTTGCGCCAATGACCGACTTCTTATCCCACATTAATTCTTAATCAGCAAAGGGATACAAATGATAATAAGACCCAATGTTCGAGATCAATTGTCAATGAGAAAGTTATTCTCGTATAAGGAATGAACAGCAAAGCCATATATTGCAAGTCCTGTGATCTTATGGAGCTAAGCGGAAGGGCTTTCATCTTCATAAGATGCGTGCAACACTATTATTTTATTATCATCATGAGACGTAATTTTGCAGGCATCAACCATGTCACTAGGTCATAGGTCACACCAAGAGGTCATAGAAAACACTTTCCCATTGTTTAACTTATATATACATTCATCGGAATGTTTCTCGTGGGACTTCGTGAGCCGCGAGGTAGTTTAAATGAATGGTTACCGATTTCTATCCTTCTGGTGCCTGTCATAGTGGTTAGAGTTGGAAGGTACATGGTATGCAACAAATGTTTATAACTGTGAGGCATAGTATTGTGGTTAAAATGCATGTCCCTGTGGCCAAGGTCTGGGTCATATGCAGAGATTGCCTGATCTAGAAAAAATTGAAATGTGAGGAATTCTCAGTTTGCCACCATAAATTAGGGTACTTTAATGTAAATGTTCACTATCATGAGACTGAGCTTTTGTGACGAACTTATGAACATATTTTACACTTAAATACTACTCAACTTTTGCTTAGCACCATATGTTTGAGCGTGAATATGTTTTGGGATTATTTTATTAAAGCCGCACGAAAGATTTTAAATGTTGATTTACTGTTTTATCAATTCAGCTGAAGGACCAATTTAACCCTATAAATGAGTTATACTCTATTTTTTTCCTTAAGAAGAGGATGACCCCCTCTTGAATATTCAGAATATGCAGCGTGTTTTCCAAATTTGTTAAATTGTTTTTTGTTGTTGTTTTTTATATAGTTTTAGACTTAACACCGTGTGTGTGACCCATGACTATCAATGACAGCTTAGCAGCGCCTTCTCATACTCCCTATTAGGTTTCTGATCATTCTAACGGGTATGGTTGCCCATTCTTGGACCAACATGACTTCAAGCTCCTGGATGATTCTGGGTTGCAGCTGACGAGCTATAATTCTAACATGCAACATATTCCACATGTGTTCTATTTGATTTAATTCAGGTGAGCGAGCTTGCCAGTCCATGCGCTCAATAGACTCCCCTCTCACAGTATATAAACGATTTGAACCCCAACCGG